TATATTTCAGCAGGACTTCCTAAAATAGGATGTGATCACCACAGATCTTTGTGCTTCTGCTTTGTTGTTGGGCTTGAAAATGAGAATTTATACAGCCAGCAGAGCAAGGTCTTTCACAGCACTTTCTTTGGGCATTGTGTTGTTGTTTCAAAGTGACGCTGTGGCCCGTGCTGATGGACAGCTGTTAGGGGCACATCCAGTCGGCATGGAAAACACTGTGCTATGAAAAGCATATTTCACAGCGTTCCCACAGATGCTGCTGGAATAATAGCCTAATGTAACAGCGCACCAAATGTGTTTAAGCACATTTTTGACACTGTTCTCGAAAGTGATGATATATCTGAACTGAAACTTCCTAAATTATGTCTTTTTCTCCAAACATCATGAAATCATATCAAACTATGTCTTCCTTGCATTACTAATTTAGAAACATAAAATATATAGTCTTTTTGGTTTTCACCTCTGATTTAAAGTTAGCTTTGAAAATAGATTTTATCCTTCTGAAGTCCAGTGAATTCTTCTTCATTATCTCCATAGCTGGTAGTAGATGTAAGCGTGAAAATTTATGTAAAACTTTTTTAATTTTTAAATTACATTGTTATAGGGAATAGTATTACAGCATATTAGTATTACACTCTTACACATTACTATTACACACATACACACACACACACACATTCACACACACTTTTTTCTGTCTTTTAAAGCCAGAGAGTAAATACCTTTTCATATCTTCAAAGAAAATGCTTCATTTTATTTTGCTGTGCATGTAGTATCGTTGTACAATACACTGTATTTTTCTTAAACATTTTTTCTTGTGAAACCTAACATATTTTAGAAGAGTGTAAAAAACAGATGGTACTACCCATTTATTAAACCACCATCCATATTAAGAAATAAAATTAAAATCAAGCAAGTTTACCCCTAGACCTCCACTGTAACATTTCCAATCCCTGTTCTTCCTCTCTTCACCCCTCAAGTTGATCACAATTGTTTTTAACCTTCACAATGATCATTTTCTTGCTTTCCCCATCATTCCACCACCTGTCCTGCCACTGCGGCACTACAGTTTAGTAACTAGTTGTTTTTGTTATGGGTTTGGTTTTTGAAATTTATAGAAGTGCAATTTTATTGCTAAGTATCCTTTTGGGCCCAACATTTCTCACTGAGGTATATTTGTAAATGTTAAAGTGTTTTTCATTTCCATATCTTACACCATTATATGAACTCTCCACAGGCTGTGCATTCTACTGTCTGGATCCAGTATAAGTGATACTGGTCTGAAAATTCTTTCATATCTCTTGATAAGTATGGTACATATTTCTGATGGGATGTATGTAGGAGTGAGTGGAATTGCCACACCATAGGGTGTATTTTTAACATTTTTAAAAGTAGAATCCTTTACACTCCCACCAGAGCGATATGATCATTTCCATCTCTGTCCTCCCCATACTTAGCCCATCTGTTTGTTGTGTTACCTCCTGGTTTTAATGTCCATTTCCCTGATTACTAACAAAGTCAAGCAAAGGCAGAGACAGATATTGAAATTCTTATTAGAATTGCATTTCATTTATAGATCAATATGGAGAAAATGTTTTTTTAAAAATGAGCCTTCTAATGCATTAACATAATTTATCTAGATAGCACTGTTCAGTTTCTCTTAGTAATGGCCATTGTTTTATGTATAGAGGCCTTACATGTTATTTGTCTCATTCATTCCCAAATATTTTATATATTTTTATGTTATAATTTCTATTTATAGTTTTATTTTCAAATTGTTGTCAATATGTAATAATATGCAGACTGAAAATTTTTACTTTTGTGGTGAGCTGTAATTCTGTAGACTTGTTTAGATTGTATATGTACTTATATAAGCTGGATATAAGGATAGTTTTGTCTGTTTCCCTTCCAAATTATGGTACTTTTTGTAATTTTTTGTATTAGTGCATGTTTCAAGGGCATAATACTCACATTCCTTGTAATGAGTTGGGGCATGTACACAGAACATCTTAGTTCCTTTTTCATCCCCTTCCCTGTCCTCTCATCTCTTGACACCCTTCCCATTTGAGAAAGTTCTACCTCCCTACTTTCTATTATCTCTTCTATTTTTTCTTTATTTATAATTTGAGTTTCTCGTATAAGAGAAATCATGTAATATTTATTTTACTTAATGTTTAGGGCTCAAGATGCACCCATCAAGTTTATCTTTCCTTACCACACAGTAATACTTTATTGTATGTGAATACCACATTTTCTTTAACCAGTCATCTGTTGATGGATATACTGGTTGCTTCCAAGATTTTGCTATTGTAATCAGTGCTGTTATTAACATGGATATGCACATATCACTATCATATGATTTCTTTAACTCTTTTGGGAAGATACCTAGAAGGGGAATAGCTGAGTAAAATGAAATTTCTATTTTAATTTTTGAGGAAATTCAATGCTGATTTCCACAGTAGTTATACTAGTTTACATTCCTATCAACAGTATAGACTTTTCTTTTTTACCCACAATTTTGCTAGCATTTTTATTATTTGATTTCTTGATGTAGCCATTCTTTCTGGGTTAAGATGGAATTTCAGCATTGTCTTAATGTACATTCCTCTAATGGCCAGTGATGTCAGGCATTTCTTCATGTTTTGATCGGCCATTTGTACTTCTCTTCTATGAAATGTAATCATTTCACTTGCCCATTTTTTTGTTGGATCTTTTATTTTGGGGAGTTTAAATTTTTTTGAGTTCTCTATAGTCTAGATATTAGTCCTCTGTTTTAGGACTATTTGGCAAAAAAATGTTCCCATTCTGTAGATTATATTCATTCTGTTTGTTGTTTCTTCTGCTATGCAGAATCTTTATAATTTGATATGATCCCATTTGTTGATTCTTGGAACTATATCTGTTTACAAAGTCTTTGCCTATGCCTGTGATGTTAAGAGTTTTGCCTGTTTTATCTTGCAGCAGGTTTTTTAAAATTTCATTTTATTGCCTTTCATAAGACTAGGACTTTCACAGGTTAGAATTTCTATTACAGGTTGACCAGCAGCCAAAATAGGTAGTTGTATCAAAGAAGAAACATTAAAATTTTTTCTATTAAGTATGATGGTGCACGTTGCTGGATTTAGTTTGCTAAGAGTTTAATTTCACATTTTTAAATCTAGGTTTATAAATGAGAAAAGCCTGTCATTTCCTTTTTTATAATGTCCTGTTAAACTTCAGTGTGAAAATTTTGCTAGATTCTTAAAGGAAATGGAGGAGCTCTTTACTATCTAGAAGAATTTGCAAAAGACTAGCAAAATTATTTAGAATTCATTAGTAAAGCCATTTGAGCTAACATTTTTTATTTTTGTTTTATGTGTTTCTTTTGGGAGGATTTTAAATTACAAATTCAGTTTCTTCATATAAGAATGTTCAGATATTCATAATGTTCAGATATTCATAAGAAGAATGTTCAGATATTTTATTTCTTCTAGTGTCCCTTTGTTGGCTGTAGTCTTCGAGGAATATGCCCTTCTCATCTGAATTTCAGATTTACTGGAAAAAAGTCATTCGTACAAACCTCTTATCCATTCATCATCCATGGAATGTGTGGATATCTCAGTTTTCATTCTTGGTTCTTGTTATTTGTGCCTTCTTCCCTTCCCTTCCCTTCCCTTCCCTTCCCTTCCCTTCCCTTCCCTCCCCTCCCCTCCCCTCCCCTCCCCTCCCTTCCCTTCCCTTCCCTCCCTTCCCCTCCCCTCCCCTCCCCTCCCCTCCCCTCCCCTCCCCTCCCCTCCCTTCCCTTCCCTTCCCTCCCTTCCCCTCCCCTCCCCTCCCCTCTCCTTCCCTGTTTTCCCTTTCCTTCCTTCTCTTCCCCTCTCCTTCTCCCTCCTCTCCCCTCCTCTCTTCTCCTCTTTCTCTCTCACCTTCTCTCTTTTCTCTTTTTTCTGAATAAGACTGTTTTTGAAATTTACCCAATTTATTAGTGTTTTTAAATATCTTATTTTTGTTATCACATGGTTACCTATGGGTTATTGAGAAGACTATTAACACTCAGATATATAGGGATTTTATTCTTCTCTAGAAAACAGTTTGGATTTCTAGCTGACAAAAAAACATTATGAATCATTATAATCTTTTGAAATTGTTATTTGCTTTGTTTTTATAAAAGTTCTCCTGTGTGTTCAGGACATTATATGTTCTGTAGTTGCTGGTTGTGGTATCCTGTATGCCACCATTAGGTCAATTTACTTACTGTGTCAGATCATTCGTCAGTTCCTAAGAGAAGTCTGCTAATGCCCCTACTGATGATGGTTTTCTTTTTTTCTCTTTGAAGTTATGGCAATTTTTGCTTTCTATCTTTTGAGCTCATGGTATGAAATGCGTGTATATTTGGAATTATGTTATCTCCCTAGCACATTGAATAATTAATTGTGCTTCTTTATTTCTAGTAACAGCCATTGCCTTAAAGCCTACTTTGACTGATACTAGTGTAGCTACATTGTTTTTGTTGTGGTTATTATATGCATGGTAAATTTTATCACCCTAAATTTTCTGCATTTCTGCACTTTTGATATTGGCTTATAAACAATAGTTAGTTTTGTCCACTTGCTGAGAGTGTACCTATCTTTGTCTTTAATCGCACAGTGAAGGAAGATATGTAATTGGATCAGAAGTGGCATCAGTTTTTTTAAGGTTGATGACTCTTTAGAGAACAATTTTTTACATTCAGAAAAGAGTTCATTAATGTCTAGTTTAAGAAATTTATCTTCCTGGTTTGCATATGAATATTCAAGAATTTATGAGAATTGTCATCTTCTGTTACTTCTCTGGCTCCTTTTCAAGGAAGGTATAGCCAGAGACTAAACTATCTGCGGATGGTATTTATCTGGTATTTGGAGAGCCTGGATTACAAGATATCTTCATCATGGTTTACTTTATTCCAGTGCACACAGCTTTAAGTATCTCTTAATATGTCTGTTTTTGCACAATACTATGAAAATTGCATTTTTGGTTTGCAGGGCTGTGACTCCCAAGTGAGCGCATCAGAGATGTCCTGCACCGAGAGCATGTCCTCTTGTCAATCTCTGGAACATGGCTCGGTTCCGGAGATTCTCGTTGGCCTGCTTTACAACGCCACTACAGGAAGATTATCAGCAGAAGTGATAAAAGGCAGCCACTTCAAAAACCTGGCAGCAAATAGACCACCCAGTGAGTGCAAACGTGTTTTAATTCAGATGCTTTTTATACTTACAGGGACTTTCAGCATTAGGGGTTTCAGTCCTGTCATTGTAGTCTTAACCAGTCAAATTCAAATGGTGAATCATCAGCTAATCTGTTTCATGTTTTCTATTTCCAGTCTTTTGGGAAGTAGAAAAATTTGAAATTCAAAATATTAATTGTATGGTGACAGGAATTTTAATTTTTATAGTGTTTGTAGAATAAATTAGTGCTATCATAGTTATTATCTTTTAATGCCAGAAAAAGGTTTTTTTAAGTAAGTAATAATCACAAACATGAAGAGAAATATGTGGAGCTATTACTGTTAACTGTGTTGTTTTCTGTCTGCATGCAGTACTATGAACTAATATATTTACTTCTTTATCTCCTTTAACAATTTAAGAAGAAATTGTTTCTTCACATTTTTTTCTCTTTTAAAAATTTAGGCTCTTTGGGGTAAAGTTCAGTAAGAGGGTACGTGCTTAGTGTGCATGAGACCCTGGTTTGATCCCCAACGCTACAAAAAGATAAAGATTTTAAAAATCAGTTCATAAATTAGTACTGTCAGCAGTCCTTTTTTCCATGAAATAAAGGGAAGACAAGAAGCAAGAGCTTGCTGGTTGCTGTGTGTCTGCGGCAGCAGCCTGTGTGCCCCCTTCTGTTGTTTTGCCATCTCCTCAGTGTGTTCCTGGTTCAGATGGCAGAGCAGGTCATGGAACAGAGAAATTACCACCAGTAGCTCTAAAACTGTTGATATCTGTAAGCAGTAAACGGGGAAGACAGCAACATCTCTGTACCTCTGTGAAATTACAACTGTTAATGCCCTGATCTAAAAATGCGAAAAGAAATCTTGAATGATAGTACTACCTTAACAGATTCACACAGACTTGCTTAATGTACTCTTTCACTCCAGGAATCAAGCAGCTACTAAAGGAGAGGAAACACTGTCTACCCTTAAATTAAGTGGACTTTGCTTCTAAATGTCATAAAAATTTATTATTCGGTGGAGGTGAAAAGTCATAAAAATATGTTTGGTTTATACCAAGTAATGCTGGGAAGCTTGCTTCTTGTATGTATCATAGAATGCACCTACTCCTGAAATAAAAATCTGAAGGCTAAAGTCATATTTCATATTTCGGCTCATAGGCGAATGATCTCAGTCTCAAAGCTAAGGTCATGTCTTGCACAGCGTTATCAGACTCAGATCTGACAAAGATGCGTAGAAGACAGAAAAAAATCATGTATTTTTTCATTTCCAAAAAGGAATGCAGTAGGAGTAAAGAAGCCATTCTTAGATAAACAAACTAGGAAGTGGGACTTGATTATTTTCACTCGTACATCCTGAAAATAGCCTTAGAGATAACCTGTATGAGAAAGAGTTGAAACTGGAGGTAACCATGCTGAGGTACCAGCCACAGCAGGAGTGCCTTTCCAGCCTAAGACGCCTGATGCAAAGATGTTGAGAATTGTACCAGATAAAACACCACTTTGAGGTCACCCTGAGCCAGAAGCTATCTTTTGCTACTTGTGCCTTAGCTAACAGTTTAGTGATTGGGGGGGGGGGGGGGCAAGTGCTTTATTGGTAGTGTTAAAGAGTAACAGAATAAAATGATACTCATATAGATAAAGAAATCGGAATCAGAATTGAAAAGGAACAAGAGCAGGGCTGGGTGGCATATAATTTAGGAAAGATTATCGTCCAGGTACAGAGTCAGTCTCCCTGTGAGATTGAGTTACAGCAGTTGTAATTATTTTACAATTAGGTCTTCAGTATAAGACTGATTAATAATGATAACCAGAAAATAACTAGTAAGTCAATTTTTAAAATGATTATATGAAAGTACACTATTTATATAGTAAAATATAAAAAAATTCCATTAGTCTGTTCTAAATTGTGTATGTTACATAAGATTGTGGCCCTTTATATATATCTAGGTTCTAAGCTTTGAATATATTATAAATGGAATAATCCCAGTTTTATCCAAAGAAATGATAGCAACATTAAAGAGCAAAATTGTGATAGTTGTATTTTCTTTTGCATAACTTAATATATTACATTGGGAGTAATAAAGCTATTTGAAATATTAAATGTTGCATGGGTGAACTTAAAACTTAGTAGAATAGTGATCTGATAATAACTTTTATTCAGCCTTTTATATCTGATAATTTGCGTGATTCTATGTTCAATGTGCTTTAGACCAAGTGGGTTTCATTATAAAGATGTCCCCCTTTAAAACAGTGTAATTTTTAAGGATTACACAATGACTTAAAATTTTTCCTTTCATGAAATTTACCCAACAATCCTTTGTTCAACCCTCTATCTGAATTAAAATGCTAAAGTTCTGTGTTTTTCCACTCCAGTGAACAGTGTTTCCTCTTTAATTCTGACCTTTGACCCTCTTTCACCCAACGATTGACATCTGGTCATTATTTCTTTTACTGCTTTCCACCCCCTGTTGTCAGATGGACTGTTCTGTTGTCTAAAACACTTGATAGGTGGACAGGTTTATATAATCCGAGGTGAGTTCCTGTAGAGGCTAATTGGATGTTGTCTTTTCATGCAAAAACAAAATACCCTAAAACTTGCCAGCAGTGAAGCTGTCCACCATGTTGGTTTCTGAAAAAATGCACATTTATTATCTGTGGTACCTTAAATAAAACTAACTAAGAATTTATCTCTGATTATGGATGATGGTATTCAGAGTATCTATAAAGTAAGCAAAACTTTTTGAAATAAAATTTTTATTTTTCCATTTGTATTTTGATTTATACAACAAATATTTTATGAAAACATGGCAGTGGTCTTTAAAATTAATTGAAATCTCAATATAAAATACACATGATGGATCAACATGCTGAATATCATTTGCATGAGTCTGTTTAAGAACTCGAAAGCACAATCTTGTAAAGAAAGAATTTATCTCCCACAATATGTCAATGAAATGTTGTTTCACTTTATATTCTATAAACATCACATCAATTTCTTTTCTAACTCATAAAACTAGTTAAGATATCATACTTAAAAATTCACATTAAATTGTGCCTAAAAGAAACCCTATAGTGTTTATTTGAACTACCCCAAAAAGCACATTAAATGTACTCTTGCATGAAACCAGGAGAAAGTTTTACTTGGTTTGCTAAACTTTGAACCCTTAATGCATTTGGCTTCATTTTAGCCCTTAAATGTTTTAAAAATATATTTAAAAACCACATCCATGCAGAGATTTTTTTGACATTTCATCCTAAGCTGTTTTGATGTCATCTTTGCATTCTTGTCTCTCTCTTCTCCTCTTTACCATTTGCCTTCATTTCTATTTGTTTGTTTACTCTTACTCTCTGAAAACACAGTGGAATGCTTCCCAGTGTTGTGGCTAACTGAGCTTGCTAAGTGTTTATGAATGCTATGATGTCCTGCTGGTAGAGCTAAGGGGATGGTGATGGCAAGGGAGGTCGTGGGGGGTGCTGGGGGCGGGGCGGACGGGAGGAAGGGCTTTGAGGTGTACCTTTAAGTTCTATCACAGAGAAATAGTGAGGGTAAGATATTATTACTCCCAAAATATTTTTGGCCTACTTTACATTCTCTATACTTGTCACATTTTATAAGCATGTACATCAAAATGGAATTAGTTAAATTTCCATTATATATTGTACATACCATATCCTTATAAGTGTAAATATTTAATATTCTCAGCACTTACTATGAGAAAATTATTTTGAGTTTGTTTCAAATGATATTTGCAATATATTGGTTTTTTTCCCCTTTAGATACGTATGTTAAGTTAACACTGCTGAATTCAATGGGTCAAGAGATGTCCAAATGCAAGACATCCATCCGCAGAGGACAGCCGAATCCAGTGTATAAGGAAACTTTCGTATTCCAAGTGGCTCTTTTCCAGCTGTCTGATGTGACGCTTATCCTGTCCGTATATAACAAACGCAGCATGAAAAGAAAAGAGATGATAGGCTGGATCTCTCTAGGTCTGAACAGTTCTGGGGAAGAGGAACTCAGTCACTGGACTGAAATGAAGGAGTCTAAAGGACAGCAAGTCTGCAGATGGCATGCGCTGCTGGAGTCCTGATGGCTGGTCCCCCCAGGCAGCACTGTGGGCAGTTACAGCACTGCTGTGTTCACCTGGTCACCACTAGAAGAGTTTGTTCTTTGAAGAGTCAAATCCAACATTCTACCAAACCCTTTAAATTGGAATCAACTACTGATGTGAATCAATGGTCTGGGTGTGGTAGAGTTTATCTGACCAGCTGGGAAACAGTACATTATTGTTGTTAAACTAACTGTCCTCCAGAGATTTAATAACACACTTTTGATTTGAAGTTACTTTTACGCCAGCAATTTCGTGGGAGCTTATGTGATTTTAGTTATAAAACTAATTTAATATCACTTTTCATAGTGTCCATGAACATATTTTGACTGGCAGGTCCCTGGTGTTTATAATGGAAAGGAGATAGCCATGCTATCTGATGGTAGAGGGTTTTGATTACATTGAAAATAGTTTTTATTTCTGATTAATTCGTTCTGTACCCTCAGTTTCATTGTGCCTCAGTTCTTTTCCATAGCACTAAATCTCAGTGGAAGCAAACACCATTTTCATAAATGAATTTTTAAGAGTTTTTTTAAAGTTTATTTCTTCCTTTGCTTCTGCTTTTTTCCAAAGAAACCTGTCAAGTCCTGGTCCCTTGCAAACCTTTTGACCAGGTACTGTAGACCTATGGAACTTTCTGTTGAAAGCACTTTCTGTGTATTTGGATTCCAACGTAGGAAGCCAGTAGAGAAGTACTTTGATTTAGGATTTCTTCCATGATTGACTCTTTACAATTGTAGTAATATGGAAAATTTTTTTAACAAACTGGAAAATACAGTAGATAAACTGTTGAAAATTGAAAACAATTAAAGTTAAACAACCTGTATCTGATCTGAGTAGTAATCAACACTGCATAATCCAAATTAAGAAGCTCTTCTGTCTCTAAATTTTCACTGAATTGAAGAATTTATATTGTGATTGTTAAGACTCTCCGGCTCTCAGTTTGAGCCCCAAAATCAAGTTAGTAGCAGTTTTGAGATTCCTTATGACGTTTCTAGTGATTTGTGACTAGATTTTATGAACTTTACAAATAACGTTCTTTAACGTGATGTCATCCTGTGCCTTTCATGTGTGTGAGATTTGCTCATACAGCTTGGAAGTTGTATTTGCAAAATTAGGCCTTCGATTTTTATAAATGTAAAGGTTCCTCAGAACAGTGTCACAAGATCTTTAGTTTCTCTAACGTATGCAATTGTATAATGTACAATTTTTTTAATGGCAAGGCACTTTCATTTGTTATTTTTATATTTAGGAACTAATTAATCAGGAATATTATAAGCTATTTTCTTTTTAATTTTGCTTCTTAACTATTATATAATTTTATGCAAATACTTTATTAAATAGTGTTTTATATGTACGAAAGCATTTTCTTTTTTGCATTTCTAGTTACACTAGACAAAAATGCACTACTTACCAATTACTAAAAAGTAATGTATCATTTTTCCTAGTCCCATTTAAGTACTATATATTGTTGCAAGCTAGAACTTGTTATTGTCATAATAACAAAACCAAGCATAGATATTATTACTTCAGCTTGGCTATACTTAAAGGCCTTAAAAGAATCCAGAAAGACCATTAACTCCTATATTAGTTTAACAAAACTAATTAACTCCTATTTACTTTAACAAAAGACAGTTCTGTGTCTTCATACACATCAGTTATAAGGAAAAATGCAAATGGGTATCATGAACCTTAAGAATGTATGCTCCATAATTGCATTAAAGGGAAAAATTTATCCTTCATTGTTTTATCAATGAGGTTTTTCTAGTTTTTTTTTTTTATTAATGAGTTGGCTTACAGAAAACATGAATTGAATGATAAAATACCTCACTTAAGTATAAAAGGGGTCATAGATTTTACTGGGAAATTGGATTTAGGCACTTCATGATACAGTTTTTTTTTTTTTCCTGTCTTTAAAACAACACTCTCTGTTGCTAACAGCTAGTATCTTCCTAACCAAAAGAATTACCAGTCTTATTTGTAGCTGTAACAAAACTTAATCAAGTACATTATTAAGACCAGGTTGGTGCTTTCACCATTAGTGAGAAAAAGACTTAACTATTGTTGTTAAATCTGCCTTTCTCAGACTATGCCTAGAATTGTGTGTGTGATTTGGTATATCCTTAGGGGTTCATCTGATGTAAGTATGAAATCTTACATACCCTAAAAAAAATCAACTGTTTAAAAAAATTTCAGGAAACATCCTCCTTACTCCCAACCCTAAAGTCCTCCAAGATTATAAATGCTGTGTGTGTGTCTGTTGTCATATGAGTAGTTGTGTTTTACACACAACATGTATATCCATGTCTGTGTATATGACAGGGATATATAAAGGCTTTTCAGGTAACTAAGTAGAAAAACATTTGTCAAGTTTATGGATCATGTTTCTCCTATCATATGATAACTAGGTATTATTATTATTTTGGGGGAGTACCAGGGATTGAACTCTGTCCTCACGTTTGCCAGGCAGGTGCTTATGCCTCTGCACTAAGTCCCTAGCCCGATAACAAGATTTTATATTTGGTTTTGGGTGCTATTTGCTTCCATTTTCCTCCATACACAGCAAAATGCACATTTTCTTTTCCTCCTGTGGGTTGAAACAACTTAGAGTAATCTATACCAAAAAAAAAAATCATCTTTTTTTTAATCTTTAGAAAAAGATTAAATAAGGTTCAGGAGACTGCTCCACTCTCCTTAATCTAGTAGAAGACAATGCTGGTGTTTTTGTGTGCTTGAATTCACATGAAGGCTTAAAGGCAAAACCTTATATCTCAGTACTTCTGCTAAATAGAGGCCCACTGGTAGCAGGTATTGACTCAGAAACTTGAGAAAAACAGCTCCTTTTCTTATTGTTCTGCTAAAGTCCACTCAGTTTTATAATCGAATGAGATGATCCAGATATGGCAGCCTGCTGGCATTAGTGGAGGCCTGAAATTGGACCCTCCTAAATGAACTGCAGCATGAGGTGTTCATTACTGCCTGAGGAACAGAGTGAATTTCAAATCAGTAAGGAAGTTTTTAATGTAATATTATCCTACCTTGCAGAAGTTTGCTTCTCTAATCTTGTCCTCAATTAACATCCACATTTTGTTAGAGATCCATTTGCATGTTATCTTACTATGCATTCAGTGAATTCTCAGTAGTGTATTTACTGAGAAAAAATATCAAATTGGACCACGACTTAAAAAAGAGAAGCCAATGAAAAATATCTAAACTACCCTGATTAATCTACACATTATAACCTCTGGCCTAGAAGGACAGCATTATCCAGCTTATGCAGATGTTAAATCATTGACTTCGCTTCGTGGAATCCAGCACCAGTGGGGGCAGAGAGAATAGAATGAAGAGTGTCCTCCAAATGAAGGTAGGTGGGGAGACCAAATGAACCACAATGAAGTCATTTCAGATGAACTGAAAAATAGGTGAGCTTTTCGAAATATAAATCTTAGAAGAGAACAGTAATGGCCAACAAATGTTTTTAAGGTTCCTGTTCAGATATGAATACAAATATAAGTCTGTTTGCATAAAGTTACTATTTACCTACATAGACTGTACAGTTTATAGGGAAATTCACATTGACAGTTGTTAGTCACAAGTTTCCCTTTTTATTTTCTTTCCAGTTACTGGCCGTAGTTCACCTGTGGAACTAGTCGTCAGTATCATCATGAACCAAATTTATTTTTGAGCACAAGTTTGAGCGTGCTGCAAAGCATTTTCTAAAACAAATATTAAAACATTAACTATGCCCTTCAAAATGCATAACAAGGGTAGTATATCAGTTATAACATGCAGGGGATTTTGCTCAGTGGCATAAGCGCCTGCTTTGTAAGCAAGTGGTTGTGAGTTCGATCCCTGGTACTAACCAAAAAACAAAAAACAAAACAAAAAAACAGTTATACTGAATGTCAGAGAGAAAAAGCAAGATGAGATTTTCGTGCTTGCCAGGCAGGTGCTTGTGCCACTGAGTTATCTCCCCAGCGAAAATTCTTCTTCTCAGAACACAAATAGTACTTTTGCATCATATATTGTAATGATTTTTATTTTTAAAGATTTGAAGGTAATTCAACCTTCAGATATACTTACATTCTGAGAGTAAAGATTTAGAGGTTATTCACACCCTATTGGAGTATATTTACATTCTGAAAGCATATTAATCAATTTGTTCTGCTTTTTTTTTTTTTTTTACAATTTTTGCAAACACAAGGTATTTTAATTGTAGCTGGCCATCTCTGGCCTGCAGAGTGGACACCTGTCTCTCCGGGGCCACATTGCACGCAGTTGGGGGTGCGGAAGGAGACTGGCCTTCCTCTGTGCTCTCTGAAGCTCACATTTCTTCTGTTAGGGTTCACTAAGATTCGGCAGGAATTGCAGCCAGGTTTGTTACATAAAAAAACTCTTCCCCTGTGCAGCAGTAAATGCGTCATCCTGTTCTCTGTATCTGCTCACAGTAAGCACATAATACTAAGCTAAATTCTTTATGGAAGAAAGCTGTAATGCTGTTGTGTAAGTTCCACTGTGTATGAGCCTTGTTTTATGCCTAGGTTTATTTTCCCTTCATTTAACACATACTTGTATGTGTTAGGAACACCACGTATGCACCATGTGCAGACTAAGGTATTATAAAGATTGCAGATGTGGAGAGGCTGAACTGGATGAAGTCTTGGCCCTTATGCTCTGAGGCAGTGAGGAGACTCAGAGTGGTGTGACTGCACTGTAACGTGAACGAGATGTTAAGACAGGTGTGCATGGGGCACTGATGGGTTCATTAGAAAAGTATGACATGGAGTGCAGAAAAATCTTCCTGGAGAAAATAACACCTGGGTTGGGACTTAACTAATGAATATGGGTTAGACTCCCATCGAACTCCAGGATAAAATACAATATAGTAGTTCCCAAAAAAGGGTAAGTTCAAAACTTATTTTGAGTCCTTCATTATAGAATCTGCAAAGATTCTATTTGGTCTGAAAGAAAGGCCAAGAATCCAGAATTTTTTAAAGCTCCCTGCCCAGGAAATCTTGTCTGAGATGAGCTAGCACAGTTTAGTACATAGAATCATTGATAGTAATGTTTTGATACTCACAAGTTAAGATTTTAAGTGTGTTAGTGATAAAAGAATTAAGACTAAGGTTAGTGATACTGATCATTTTCTTGCGCTTCTTTTAAAAGAAATTTAGTGGAAAAATTAAGAGTTCCTATTCATTTACATTCAAGGTACCTTTTTAAAATGTTTCTTGATATAATAAATATATTGTGGGTTTTATGATTTCTGAACATTTTTCCATTCAAACATTTCCCACTAGATTGTCTTTACAGTGCTAGATAGAAGGCTGAGTCTGAGGGACTTTCTAAGTTGTGTTCTCTGTAATGATTCTAGGTAAAATTAGACCGACCTTTACGCACGGCACGTGGCAGTCACTGCCTTGGTAGGTGCCGAGGTTTGATGCGGGATAAAGCAAGCCTTCTTTCTTCTCCTTTTCCTCCTGAGCAGGCTTCTTTGTCTCACACCAGTAGTCCAGCTGTGGCCCTGGATTCTTCCTTGGGAGCAGCGTAGTTCTGCCTCTTTTGCTCTGGTCTCTGTGTCTTTGCTGGGTGTTCTTCTGTATAGTCCTTTCTTTCAAATAGCAGCTTGGTTATAGGAGTTTCACTTTCTCTGCAAGTGAAGACTGTGGATTTGTTCCTCTGAGTTTCTGTTCCCCCTCATCTCAAGTGGGTCATAGTTCCACCCCTGACAAAACACTGCATCACGTTTGGAAAGCTCTCCCCCCCAACACACACACACACAAAGATCTGTGAAATACTGAAAAGTGAGTTTATCTGTGCTTCTGAGGTAATACTGCTGTGGAATTAGACTGTTTTGTGACTGCTGATGTATCAGTCAGTGCTTGGTCCAATCATAGTTTGATTAATAAGTGATAAGAGTTTGACAGGCTGGGTAAATGGATTGATTTTAAAGATGAGTGTTTTCTTCTCCTTAGACTGGTATGCATCTCCCCTTAGTGCGTGTGTGTTTGCTCTTACCTCCCATTTTTCCTTATTCTTACACATTCACACTAGACACCAGCAGTGTGTACCTAGAGAAGAGTGATCCTCTGACTCTTCCTTCTTAATCACATGGGTCAGAGAGGGGATGGTTGACTGGACACTTCAGAGACCACAGCAAGAGCAGCCTCCAGCCCACGAAAGCTCATGGTGCATTCTGTGATAGTGGTCATCGTGGTGCACTTATCTTAAATATTGCATAGACTGGAGCAAAGAAAGAAACTGATGATCTAACTAAAAGCAAGCATAATTTTATTACAGAATTTCAACCTCTTAGTACATCCAGATGTCTAAATAACCATGAGAACAAAGTCCCTGCTGTGGCAATAGCTGTGCATGATGTTTGATGAGATTTCATTATGAGGTTGATGGTATCTCACACTGTCTTATTTTAGGGCCCTTCTTCAAGCTCTGGTTGTGTTATTCTGATTGTGAGTAAGCCTTGTTCAGTTCTTCCTAGTATTTGAGTTTGTGTTTTAAATATTTAAGACTACTTTTAAAAAGAAAAGCCTTAACAGTTTTCTGTTGATTTATTTAACATGTGATCTTTCATATGCCAATGGTGTTTAAAAGAATACTAAGTATATAACACATAATATTCCATTATTCACTGAAAAAATTTTCTAAAATGATGTATTATGATTTATCAACTTTAAACATTTTCAGATGTCACTCTTATTTTCATAAATTACACAGTTAAATATGACTTTTGTTTAATAACAATATAGAAGTTTTCCCTTATCTCCAAGAGTTGCTGTTTCTCTTTGCCACTCCCATGTGCTTGAAGGGAGGTGTCTGTAGCCCTCTGAAAAGATCTCTTGTTGGTCAGTTAATAAGTGCACATGCCCTTCCAGTTGGTAGCATTGTCAGTAGCGCCTCAGCTATCCCTCAAAGTATTCATCCTCATTCCTCTTGGGAACCCGCAGGAGCAGGAATGGACAAGTCCAGCAGAAGAAGGACCCCTGACTGCGGCATGGGCTTGCGAGCCCTGCTGCTGGGGTGGCCCTCAGTACCTGCGTGACTTCCACTGGAGACACACTGGCCCTCGCTTGGACAAAGGAGCTGTGGCCATTGTGTCCTCTTGTCTTCCTTTGATCTTCCCACCCCAGCCCTCCCTAGCTAGGACATTCTCTAGGTTACATTTTGTGAGAAGGGTTTTAAAACCTTAATTTTTCCGGTTTTACATGCTTCTTTAACCAGGAAATTTCAAAAAATAGAAATATCATAAAGTCCTAGGTGAGTTTGTTTGGAGAGTAGATGTCTATTTTGGGCAGTCTTTTTTGGAAGAATGTCAGTGTTTGAGGAGAGACCAGGAGAGCATTGGTACATAAATTGGCTTTAAGTATATTTGAACAATTATTTGAAGCACAGCTAGAAATTAATGGTGATACTCCCAAAAGCATTTTCATATCACAAACATAACTTTAAGTTTACCAAGAGAAAAATTCCAGTAGTAACTTGCATTTTTGAATTACTGTATTTTTGCATAATTTATTAAAATAACCTTTGTTTTGTGATGAACATAATATAGTGGCAATAGTTTTGAGGAATCTTTAAAGCTGACATAAAAGGACAGCCAAATTTTGGCTAGTTTTTGCTAGAATTTTGAAATAAGAAAGTATATATGTATTACTTTTCAGTCACATTAGTCTTGAAGAATAGTTATAGAATTTTAAGAGTCTTGTAAATGTTGCAATCTATTATTTTTCTAAAACTCAAGAGGCTCATTACTGCTCAATATTCTTGCATTGTGCTTTATTTCTCAAAATAATGTAATTTTTATGGGAAAAACTCAATTAGTGGAATCTTTTATTCAGCATTTCCTTATTCTGTCTTTTCTCCCTTCTCTCCTATACTTTCCCTTTCCTTCCTCTTTCTTTCATTTTTCTGAGGCCAGAAGCTTCCTTAATAGTATAGTTTCTACAGAGCTTTCCTACTTATTTTTGTAATAATGGATATAACAGTGCGATGAAGTTTAAATGCTCTGTGAGCAAAATTCTATCACACAACCTGTTGAAGTTTATTGCTTTGATCCGGAACTGTCTCTGACACATTTGCTAGTGATCCTCAACCATTAATGGACCTTCCTAACACATATGCGTGTCTGCGTGGTTATCAACAGTGTTGTGTTATTGTCACATATTAATTTGCCTATTTGGTCAAAAATATAAACATGAGTTTGTGAAGCAGTCCATTTTATGGAGTGAGCATATATCTGATTGTTTTCATGTAATTGAAATTGTGCTCTGTGTTGCATTTTATTCTCATAACTACTTTTCTATGATCTGTACACCGATTGTCTCGGTGCCTTTTTCCTTTTGTATAATTGTATTACAGAAAGAAATTGCTGACCTCTGTGTACACAATGTAAAAATGTTAAAACTACTATTCTAAGGAGATTTTAATGGCTGTTTAATTTTCCAGTGAATAAATTTTGTGTGAGTTAAAAATACTTTTCTTCACCTTTGTGTTCATTTTAATACTCAAGTGGAATGGGTAAACATCTGACATCTCTGATGATAATACATAAAAACAGCTCTAATTCTCATCCCTGACAAGTAAGTGTCATTTGAGTGTTTTACAAAATAAACCAAGATCAATTACATAAACAAATATCAAAGGATATATGTAGTGTTATTAAGATCTTAGGTTTTAAAAGAATCTCATTTAGAAAGTGCTCTAAAATATTGCTATCAAAATGTTTAGATCTTTTTAAGTCATATCTGACCTTGAAAAAAAATAGACTCCACACAATAATATTTTTAAACAAAAAGAATAAAGCTAAGTAGCTTTAAAATAGTCTCAGTGTCTTTATCAGGAATAGACACACAGATGCCCTGTGACACAGCTTGCTCTTTCATTTCATGTAGATTTGTCATTATTCATAGTAGTATCACACTATGTTTATTTTTGTGCTTGTGTGTTTGTTTGAAGCAGGGTCTCACCGTGCAGCCCAGGCTGGCCTCAAACTCCCAGTGATTCTCTTGCCTCAGCCTCCCAAGTGCTGAGATTGTAGGCGTATGCCAAACAATAGACTTTTATTTGGTTGATTTCTAATTCTTTTTTATTAGATAAGTGTTTCCCAAAGACCTTGATTGTAGGTACTTTTCATATTTCATTACCTTGTCCATTTCATTTTCAGCAAGAAAGATTAATAATAACCAACTTAACAAGTGTTGTTTTGCATATGAAAAAGAATGTAAACATTTGGTGCTCTAACACTGACAAAAATTAAAGTTGCTACTTTATCTTGTCTCTGATTATTTTTGAATCTTTAGTTCCATAAATTAATCAGAGCCTTTTAAAAGCAAAAATGGATTCAGAATATCATCTCCAACTGCAATTTAAGTAGTTTGTTTCTTTTTCCAGTAATTTGTTAGCCCCTATCAAACCTTTTGTGCTTCCATTATGAAATCATTTCTGACAAAAGGGAAAATAACAGACTTGCTTAGAAATGTCCACAAAAAGTTTTCTGAATTGTAAGCACCATCTCAACTAGAGATAATTTATTAGTTATTTAGTAGTTTGAAAAAAATTGTATCCAGGTCAAGGCTTATTGTCTTTCCAAGAATTACAGTTGATATAAATTCCAGTGGAAAATAGGCATGTCTGCATTCTCATTAGCAAATCAGTAAGTTATCACATTCTGTTGTTGTAAGAGCAATTTAGGTAGTTATTCCTCATAATATGTTACTATACATGTATTTAGGATTAGGTTTTAATTGCAAGTTGTTTGAAACTACTTTATCTCAGGTATGCAAAATAATATTTAAGTCAACTTTTTCCTTTCCATAGATTATCAAAATATTCCATAATGTTTCCCGTTTGAAAATAAAGTCATTCCCAACTGAAAAGGACTCAGTAAAATATGTAAACTACTTTGGTTAGTGCTTTATAATGAATTGTATAATACACTAACTGCTTCTGTGTACCTAAGTGCCAAATAAATGGGGACAAATTACGGTCATGTGTCACTTCATAATGGGAACATGTCTGAGAAATTGTGGTTAAGCAATTGCATCACTGTGTGAAGAAACTGCCAAACTTCCAAAGTGTATGCAGCCTTTCGCCTTCCTGCAGCAATGACTGAAGGCTCCTGTTGATTTGTACCCATGCCAGCAACCAGTTTTGTCAGGTTTTTAGATGTTAGCCAATCTGATGGGTTTGGAGGGGTCTCTCAACTGCTATTGTAATCTGCAGCTCTACCAGATGCGATAACTAGTTTCCATGAGCACATTTTCAGTGGTGAGAAATCTGTTCAGATGTTTGCCCACTTTATTAGTCTTACAGTTTACTGTTAGGAGCTCTGTATATTTTGGACTTAGGTCTTTTATCAGCTACAGTTTTCTCCTAGCCAGTTGTGTGTCTTTCCATTCTCTTAATATTTTTCACAGAATGAAAGTGTTAATTTTATTAAATTCAACTAACCCAGTTCTTTTCTTTCATGGGTTGTACTTTTGATATTGGATCAAAAAATCACCAAACCCATGCTCATCTATTTTCTTTTAGAAGTTTTCTATTTTTTGCATTTTATGTTCATATCTATCCACCATTGTGAGTAAACTTTTTAGAAGGTGCAGGTCTGTACTGGTATACTTATTGTGGATGGATGCATAGTCATCCCAGCTTCATTCACTTGTTAAAATGGTCTTTCCCCATTTAATTCTCTTTGCTCTTGGCAGAAGAGGAGCCGAGAGCGCCATGCAGTCTCTGCCTGGGCTCTGTTTTTTTGGTGATCTGTGCACCTGCTCCCTCGCCTTGAACAGCACTGTGCCCTTCAACAGTGGTAGTCTTACAGTCAATCTCAATGATGGATTCTCTGAGAGCTCTCTGTACTTCATGGTGTCCTAACTACCCTGAATGTTTTACTTTTTCTATATAAACTTGAGAACCAGACTGTCAATACTCACAAAATAGTTTCTTGCAATCTTGGTTGAGATTGTGTTGAACTGAAAAATCAGTCAAGAATCAAGATCCTTTAGCATTGAGTCTTCCAGGAACACAAAATATCTTCCCATTTTTTAAAATCATTATGCTTTGTTGAATTTGTTTCATAATTTTCCAAACAAAATAAGTTTGCCAAGAGGTTTTAGTTATTAATGGTGACTTTTGTCAAAAGCTTTTTCTACATCAATTGATGGGGATCATGTGGCTCCTTTCTTTAGACTTTTGGTGGGTAACATTGATAAATTTTTCTGCTCTTGATCTAGACTTACCTACCTAGAATAAATCTCATTTGATCAGGACAAGTGATTCATATACATTGTTGGACTGCTCATATTTTTGAGGGTTTTTACATCTATATTCATGAGAAGTATTAGTCTATAGTTTCTTCCTTTGTCAAATCATATCTAGTTTTGGTTATTGGGTCTCATAGAAAAAATTAAGTTTTCCTTCTATGTCTGGCTTGTGTGGAAGAATTTGTAGAGAAATGGTTTCTTTCTTTAAAATGTTTGGTAAAAATCTATCCATAAAACCATCTGGGCCTGTTGCTTCTTTTTTGGAGGTTATTAACTATGTATTTTTAAAATACAGACCTATTCACATTATCTACTTTTTGATAAATTGTTTTGATAAATTGTGTCCTTAAAGGGATGGATCCATTTCGTCCAAGTTACCAAACCTGTGAACAAAGAGCTATTCACACTATTCTTTTTTTTTTAAGTTACATATTGTCATCTTAGAAATAGTTGCTCAAGTTACAAAATTAAACCATACAAAGTGATATTCAAATAGTGACACTGCAAACAGTTCTGCTCAATGATCCAGCAAAAACTTAGTAATATGGTTATCAGTCCTACACACTTGTTTTTTATCTTAAAGAGGGTAAGATTAAACATGTCAAAACAGAACAAAACAGTTCATAAGGAAACAATTTAAAGAAACACAGAATTCTCAGCAAGTCCACTGGAGATATTCACTGTCTATTTCATTGTCTCTAGTTTTCTTCCAAATAGTTGTCCCCATCTTCACACACATTGAATATATACTGAACATTATAGAACTAATTAAATCATTACAAGATGATGAAGGCTTTTTAGGTCTTCAAGATCTGATTTTGGGGAAGTCAATAATGACTACCATAATGTCTCTCATTCTCTTTGAAGTAGCTATCTTTATCTTTATATATGCTGAAACTGAACATAAGAGACTAGACTAATATCACTCTGAACAGTGAATAATAGTATTGAAAAATATGGAACGCTTCATGAATTTGCACGTCATCCTTGCGCAGGGGCCATGCTAATCTCTGTATCATTCCAATTTTAGTATATGTGCTGCCAAAGTGAGCACTGTTCACACTATTCTATTACTGTCCTTTTAATAATCTGTGTCCCCCTTGCCCTGTTAGCCTAACTAGGATTTTGCTAATTTTATTGCTAATTTCAGAGAAAAATTTTATAGTTTTGGCAATTTTCCCCATTGATTTCATGTTTTCAGTTTCATTTATTTCAGCTCTAACTTTCTCTTCTGTTTGCTTTAGACTTAAATTATTCTTTCTCTAGTTTTCTAAGGTATTTTATTTTACATCTTCTTTTCTATTATATGCATTGCAAGCTGTAAATTACCCTCTAAGCACTGGATACACTGGACTCTACTAATTCTGATGTTGTATTTTTTCCTTTTCATTTAATTCAAATATTTTTAAAATTCTGCTGAGGCTCCTGTGACCCATATATTATTTATGTTTGTCATATAACTTCCAAATCAAGAAAAATAGGATTTTTTAAAGAATTTGAATCCAATATTTTAATATATTGAAGTTGAGCCAGAAGTTTCTGGAAGGTTTTAATCACCTGGGCCTGTTTTCTCATCTGGAAATACAATTTAAATAACATAGAATCATAATTTTTTTTTGAGACAGGGTCTTGCAATGTAGTTGAGGTCTTGAACTTACTATGTAGAGAAGGCTGGCCTCAAACTTGCGATTCTGGTGCCTCAGCCCCTTGGTTATTAGAATCATAGGCACATACCACCACCCCCAGCACAGTTATGACTTTTAATTAAGTGGATTGACTGGAGCAAGTTATCTAGCACTTAATGTTTTATGTAGCTTTATTTCATCTTTTCATGATTTTCATGGAAGGACACATTATTTTTATTACTGCCACTTCATGTGCTAAAGGGACACAGTAACATACCTTAATAAAATCAACCGTCGCTCTACCACCTTCAGAAAATCTTATTTTCCAGGCTTCCCATTCCCTATATCCTTCTGAACTATATGACATCCTTAACCCTATGAAATCAGAGCTTTTACTCCCTAGGGACATGGTAAGGGCTTCTTTACAACTGTATATTTTATACCACTTTTTCTTTATTTTTTAAACACAAAATCATTATAATGTGTCAATTTTAGTTATAAACAAACTCTTAAGCTCAGTTTTTTTTCACCCTGTATTATTTTGAGAATCTTTAGTCACAAGATAATGTTTGGATACAGTTGCTTTT